ATCAACGTATGCAAATAAATCAATTAAACAATCTCGGCCAAGCTCACTTGACTAAGTTTCTAAATTCTATCAAATCAATTTTTAACGTTCGCAAACTATTCAATTTATCACCTCAGTGATTATGTAGCCAACTTCAAGAACTACAATCGAGCTTGGCATAAAATTTAAATTTAATTTTCAACGACTTTCTAATTCGCAAATTAATGAAAATCTTTAAGTAACGCCACAGCGTCGTTCAACCAATGCTGAACTATCAAATGTTACCGCTAAATGTAATGAAATAAATCAAATTTCACTCGTTAAATCTATCACAACAGACTAACGGATATCTTTAATTTGAATTCAGCCGAGACACGAACCTTTTCAACAAATAAATTTCAAATAATTAACAACCAGTAAATTCAGAATTTAAAAACTACTTTAACTAAAGAATGTTAAATTAGCCCACAAATCTACAATTTAATTTCATTTAATGGCACATAAACTTTATTTTAAAGCGAAATAAATATTAATTTTGGTTTTCACTGAGAAGATGTATGTATTTTATATGTGTGCGTGTTACAGGCGTATAAGCCTTAATATGTGTGACGAATAAGATCCAGTTGTGAAATATCACACTGGATATGCCTTAATATCTACACTTAACGCCTATTATGCTCACAACAAACAATTGACTTCCAATGATGCTTAATATTCTCTCAGCTTCCTCGTAACTGCCTCACTATAGCTCCACCGGAATTTAACCTCTTCAATTTTACTGGATGTTACACTTCTTTCAGGATTCTCAATTCAAAGCTGCTGTGATGCACTTTTATGTCCTTAATTCCTTGCCGGGTCGTCCCCTGGCACTTGCATGAAGTAATTTTTTCTAAAAATATGTGTCTTGGTCGACTTGATGGCTTCTTTTTAATAATTTACTAGTCGCTGGAATATGCCAAAGCAATAAAAAGTCACAATTTGTTTGTGAGTCAGCGACTCGTAGTAAATGTATTTTTCTAAATAAAAATTCAAACATTAGAAAACCTTAATTATAATACAAAATTCAACTTACAGAAAAAATGTCCGAAGTCGACAAAGACGCGTTTCAAACCAAGAAAGAAATTACGGGAGCAAAAGGTCGAGGGGCATTCACTTTATTTATGAGCTTTAAGAATTCAAACTTTAAAATATCGTTGTCAATTCTAATTGGCAACATTCCCTAGATATGTTTTAAAATGCAATTTAAAGCATTTTTGGTTTCGATCATAGTAGGCTATTTTTAAAAAAATTATATCGATTTTATATCTATATCACCATTCTTTATCATTTATATTCCCTAAATGTGTTTAAAAATGCAATTGAAAGCATTTTTGGTTTCAATCATAGTAGGCTATTTTTAAAAAAATTATATCGATTTTATATCTATATTAGCATTCTTTATCATTTATAATACCTAGATGTGTTTAAAAATGCAATTGAAAGCATTTTTGGTTTCAATCATAGTAGGCTATTTTTAAAAAAATTATATTGATTTTATATCTATATTAGCATTCTTTATCATTTATAATACCTAGATGTGTTTAAAAATGCAATTTAAAGCATTTTTGGTTTCAATCATAGTAGGCTATTTTTAAAAAAATTATATTGATTTTATATCTATATTAGCATTCTTTATCATTTATAATACCTAGATGTGTTTAAAAATGCAATTTAAAGCATTTTTGGTTTCAATCATAGTTGGCTATTTTTAAAAAAATTATATCGATTTTATATTTATATCTATATTAGCATTCTTTATCATTTATAATACCTAGATGTGTTTAAAAATGCAATTTAAAGCATTTTTGGTTTCAATCATAGTAGGCTATTTTTAAAAAAATTATATCGATTTTATATCTATATTAGCATTCTTTATCATTTATAATGCCTAGATGTGTTTAAAAATGTAATTTAAAGCATTTTTGGTTTCAATCATAGTAGGTTATTTTTAAAAAAATTATATCGATTTTATATCTATATTAGCATTCTTTATCATTTATAATGCCTAGATGTGTTTAAAAATGCAATTTAAAGCATTTTTGGTTTCAATCATAGTAGGCTATTTTTAAAAAAATTATATCGATTTTATATCTATATTAGCATTCTTTATCATTTATAATACCTAGATGTGTTTAAAAATGCAATTTAAAGCATTTTTGGTTTCAATCATAGTAGGTTATTTTTAAAAAAATTATATCGATTTTATATCTATATTAGCATTCTTTATCATTTATAATACCTAGATGTGTTTAAAAATGCAATTTAAAGCATTTTTGGTTTCAATCATAGTAGGCTATTTTTAAAAAAATTATATCGATTTTATATCTATATTAGCATTCTTTATCATTTATAATGCCTAGATGTGTTTAAAAATGCAATTTAAAGCATTTTTGGTTTCAATCATAGTAGGTTATTTTTAAAAAAATTATATCGATTTTATATCTATATTAGCATTCTTTATCATTTATAATGCCTAGATGTGTTTAAAAATGCAATTTAAAGCATTTTTGGTTTCAATCATAGTAGGCTATTTTTAAAAAAATTATATCGATTTTATATCTATATTAGCATTCTTTATCATTTATAATACCTAGATGTGTTTAAAAATGCAATTTAAAGCATTTTTGGTTTCAATCATAGTAGGTTATTTTTAAAAAAATTATATCGATTTTATATCTATATTAGCATTCTTTATCATTTATAATACCTAGATGTGTTTAAAAATGCAATTGAAAGCATTTTTGGTTTTAATCATAGTAGGCTATTTTTAAAAAAATTATATCGATTTTATATCTTTATTAGCATTCTTTATCATTTATAATACCTAGATGTGTTTAAAAATGCAATTTAAAGCATTTTTGGTTTCAATCATAGTAGGCTATTTTTAAAAAAATTATATTGATTTTATATCTATATTAGCATTCTTTATCATTTATAATACCTAGATGTGTTTAAAAATGCAATTGAAAGCATTTTTGGTTTTGATCATAGTAGGCTATTTTTAAAAAAATTATATCGATTTTATATCTATATTAGCATTCTTTATCATTTATAATACCTAGATGTTTTCAAAAATGCAATTGAAAGCATTTTTGGTTTCAATCATAGTAGGCTATTTTTAAAAAAAATATATCGATTTTATATCTATATTAGCATTCTTTATCATTTATAATACCTAGATGTGTTTAAAAATGCAATTTAAAGCATTTTTGGTTTCAATCATAGTAGGCTATTTTTAAAAAAATTATATTGATTTTATATCTATATTAGCATTCTTTATCATTTATAATACCTAGATGTGTTTAAAAATGCAATTGAAAGCATTTTTGGTTTTGATCATAGTAGGCTATTTTTAAAAAAATTATATCGATTTTATATCTATATTAGCATTCTTTATCATTTATAATACCTAGATGTGTTTAAAAATGCAATTTAAAGCATTTTTGGTTTCAATCATAGTAGGCTATTTTTAAAAAAATTATATCGATTTTATATCTATATTAGCATTCTTTATCATTTATAATGCCTAGATGTGTTTAAAAATGCAATTTAAAGCATTTTTGGTTTCAATCATAGTAGGCTATTTTTAAAAAAATTATATCGATTTTATATCTATATTAGCATTTCTTATCATTTATAATACCTAGATGTGTTTAAAAATGCAATTGAAAGCATTTTTGGTTTCAATCATAGTAGGCTATTTTTAAAAAATATATATCGATTTTATATCTATATTAGCATTCTTTATCATTTATAATACCTAGATGTGTTTAAAAATGCAATTTAAAGCATTTTTGGTTTCAATCATAGTAGGTTATTTTTAAAAAAAATTATATCGATTTTATATCTATATTAGCATTCTTTATCATTTATAATGCCTAGATGTGTTTAAAAATGCAATTTAAAGCATTTTTGGTTTCAATCATAGTAGGCTATTTTTAAAAAAATTATATCGATTTTATATCTATATTAGCATTCTTTATCATTTATAATACCTAGATGTGTTTAAAAATGCAATTTAAAGCATTTTTGGTTTTGATCATAGTAGGCTATTTTTAAAAAAAATTATATCGATTTTATATCTATATTAGCATTTCTTATCATTTATAATACCTAGATGTGTTTAAAAATGCAATTGAAAGCATTTTTGGTTTCAATCATAGTAGGCTATTTTTAAAAAAATTATATCGATTTTATATCTATATTAGCATTCTTTATCATTTATAATACCTAGATGTGTTTAAAAATGCAATTTAAAGCATTTTTGGTTTTGATCATAGTAGGCTATTTTTAAAAAAATTATATCGATTTTATATCTATATTAGCATTCTTTATCATTTATAATACCTAGATGTGTTTAAAAATGCAATTGAAAGCATTTTTGGTTTCAATGATATTAGGCTATTTTTAAAAAAATTATATCGATTTTATATCTATATTAGCATTCTTTATCATTTATAATACCTAGCCCGAAAGGCACACTACTGGCACGGGGCCAGCACAGAGACGGCATACACATGGCATGGATTTTCACGCCAGCACAAATTTTTGGCATGGTGCTAGCACCTTGCTATCACCGTTAAACAAATTTAGCACCAATCCAGGTTGGTGCCAGCACTCATGCTGGATTGTGCGCCAAAAGAACAACGGAATTTCTGGCATGGTGCTAGCGTACTTTAAAAACCATGCCGCGTAGATTTGACGCAAAGCCAGCACCACGCTAACGTTATTCTCTAAAGTATGACAGCGTGGATCTTTCTCCACGCTATCGTTACGCTGGATTAATGTATAAAAAAAAGCACAGAAATTGAAATGGTGCCGGCTTCGTGCCGATTTTATGCTACCTGAAAAATAAAAATAGTGCCAAAATCATACAAAAAATTGTGTTCGATAAAATTTTAATTTTTAATAATTTGAAATTTATTTATGAGTGTTTTTTTTATTTGAAAGCTCTAAAACAGTCGTTGATTTTCATGTTTCATTTAGTTTCCTTCTACGTTTCCTTCACCTCCTTCTTCCTCGACGTTTAAAGTATTTAATTTAGGAGCCCTTGGTGTCTGATGAATACTTTTAAAAAATGCCTGAACAGAAATTTCAGCTTCTGTCAAATTTGCGAACATTTTCGTTCCAGGTTTTATCTCCACTTTGTTGCATATGTCTTTGAAAAACTTGATATGATTTTCAAACACATCAAAACCAGCTTGTTCTGAGAATAAAGAAAGTAAATCTTTATTACTACTAATAAAGTTAATGAGAAAAAATCATTCATTATTGCTGATAAAATTACTGAAATTTCAAAAGCTTCACTTACGTTTGGCTGACTTCCAAATGAATGATTTTGCGAATTCACGTTCCAAGTACATTGACATTAATGAATGCATGTAACCATTCTGTGGTTTGAAATTTTTGCTAGGTATTCTAATTGTAGATCTGTAATATTCTATCTGTTAAAGAAAATATGAATTTAATATTTTAGTGTAAAAGTTTGCTTGAAGTAAATATAATTTTTTAAAATAGTATTTTAAGTTTTAAATACATACCATTTTTTTGTATTCTTCAACAAATGGTTCTGGCATGGTTTGTAAATTTTTTTCAATTAAATTAAGTTGGTCGATTGCACAAACCGGTATTGGTCTGAACGTTACGTCTTCTTCAACGTTTCCAACTGACTTAATCATTTCTTTTATTGCAAACTCATTTTTTTTTTTTTTTTTTTTTTTTGTTTAAAAGTTCATTTATTTATATCAAACTTAAAGTTGTGTTATAAATTTATACAAATTAATTATTGCAGAGAGAGAATAAAAAACAAATTACTTCATATTCAATTTAATTTAATTAGCATCAAAATACAATTCCAAATAGTGTTCTCTCAAACGATTTTTAATAATGTTCAATGAATGAAAAGCCTTTATCTGCTGTGGAAGATTATTGAAATCCGCAAATGCTCTAATGTAAAAATTCTGCGCTCCTTGACTAGTGCGGCACATTCTTATTGTGAAATTTCCTCGATTTCTTGTCGAATGATTATGAATATCGCTACCTAATTGTATTTCGACATTATTTTTAATTAAATTCGATGCAAATTTAAATACTTGAAGAGAGCAGTTTGTTTTACACATTACAGAGACTGGCAAAAGTCTAATGCTATACAATATCTCCTTTCCAGCAAACCAACTTTTCCTCAATACAATTCTTAGAGCTTTTCTTTGAAGAATCTCAAGAGACTTCATTTGACCAACTGAAAGACAAGACCAGACTGTACTCATATAACCTAAATGTGACTGCACATGTGCATAGTATAAATCTCTAGCTGTTTTTTCAGATATGAATTTTCTTGCTCTTCGTAACGCGTATATAAACGGAGTAATTCTTTTCTTAATTTCATCGACATGACATTTGAATGTAAGCTGTTCATCAATGATAAGACCTAGCAGTTTTATATTTTCAGACCTTTCTATAGCCGTTCCGTTAAAAGATATGTTTAATGCCCGCTCTGTAAAGCTCTCAAATCTCTTTCTTCCTTGAAATAAGACATATTGTGTTTTCTTAGCATTAGGACTAAGAAAATGATTACTGAGCCATTTGTGAATAAGCATTAAATCTTGTTCTATATTTGCTTTCATTTCTTTTGTATCATTTCCAAAATTGACAATTGACATGTCGTCGCAGTACAAATATAAATTTCCATTTAATTTCAAATTGAAGACACTATTTATGTATAAATCAAAGAAAGGTCCTGATAGTACACCGCCCTGAGGCGATCCTACATTAATTATTAGAAATTCACTTAAATTTCCATCAATACTGACTGCCTGCTTTCTCCCATAAATGTATGAGATCAGCAAATTTAGAAAGAAGGGATCAAGAGCTAATTTACGCAATTTTTGAATTAAAATGTTAAATTGAATGCAATCAAATGCTTTACTTAAATCGATGCATGTAAGAGAAACTGTCTTTCTTTCATCAACGAATCCATAAATATCATTGAGAACATGTGTTACCGCAATTTCGCAGTTTGATTTTCTTACGTAACCAAACTGGTTTTTATGTATTATGCTATTATTATCTAAATGAGTTTGAAATCGTCTATAAATCACATACTCAAATATTTTGCCAAAGATAGGATTTATGGTTATTGGTCTATAATTATTGCAAGTGGTTTTACTACCATTTTTGAAAATTGGCGTTACAATTCCTAACTTTAGTACTTCTGGGAATACACCCTGAAACATGTACTTGTTTAATAATTTTGCTAGATTTTTTAACAGCGCATTCTTGTGAAATTTTACAAATGAATTTGACATCCCATATACATCAAGAGCATTGGATGATTTCAAATTTTCGATTACTAATTTAACTTCATCTTCTGTTACGGAAGGACATGTAAAATTGCTATTTATTTGATAGACCTCGCTTCTCATTAAATCATCATATTCCGATTTATTAATATTAATTTTACTAGTAATTTCCTGCGATACGTTAACGAAAAATCTATTGAAATGATCAGCAATTGATTGCTTTTGATTTATTGAGATACCGTTATCAACTAGTAGTGAGCATTTCGATCGTTAATTGCCATTGTATTGATAATAGTCATCATGTTCTCTTGATTTTTTCGTAGTATAACATTCTCTTGAAGAATTTGTTCAACTGTGCTTCTTCTTATGAACATCATACTTCCTCCCTGCGAAATACACAAAACTTTAATTAAGAAAATCTTAAATAATTTTTGTAAATCAACTTACAGTTCCATTAAAACTCGTTGTGGCGTCATATTCTTGATCATTTTGACGAACGGCAATATTTCGAGGAGTCTTTAAATAACTTTCTTGATAGTGATCACTCATCGATGAAAGATTATCAGACGAATGTTTCTGATGAAGATTAATACTACAAATTAACGTTACAATAACATATAAAAGTTTTAAGTGAATTTTTAACACAACTCACATTAAAAATTGGTGAATTTGGACGGAATTGGCTTGTAGAAGCTAAAGAGGAGTTCTGAGGAAGCAAAGTCGCATTGGCAATCTAAAACAAGCAAAAATAAACATGTTTAAAATGTTTAAAATATAAGCAAAGATTAAGTGCTTCAAAAGATTAATTATTCACATTATCCTGAAGTGCGTTGCAACTAAAACGATTTTCAAGAGAATCTTCAATTATTGAGAAACCGATATTTTGACTTTCTGGTACAACTTGATTTTCAAACGCACTTTCAAGCTTTATTTGCTTTTGCTTATGACCCGACTTAAAGTTTATAGAAATTAATGTCAGTATTATAGAGTCTGCAACAATTATTACTATACCTCTTTCTCATACATGCTGTTGAAATTAACTTCATTCTTACTAATTTTACGACTCTTCTTTTGCGTCTTATCCTTCTTTTTGTCCATTTCAGATGCTTCAGAGTTTGCATACAAACATTTCATATCAACAAACTCATTTGCAAGTTTCAAATCTGTTAAAAGACAATAAAAAATGGTTAAAGGACGGAGTAATAAAATGTATGTGTTTTGGAAGAGTTTTTTCCCGTTTAGTTTCGAAAATGATATTATGAGCGTAAAATAGCTAAAATATTAAACTCACCAGCAATATCATTATGTACAATTTCTATCTCTTCCATCGGCCAGTCACCCTGAGCGTCCTTCATTGATTCTACACACTTTTTCATTTTTGTTGTTGGATAAAGTGTATATTGCTTTGGATCATCATCGACTTTTGTGAGCCATTTTTTTGGAACTACGTAAAACTCTAGACGTTCGTTTTTAACTACAGCATATGACATTTTGATCTTTGTTTTTTATTCAATAAGTGCATAAATAAAGATAAAAAATTAAACGTTTATAAAGTATGATTGAATGCATTAAAAGGAGCCATAAACAAATTATTTTCTTCAGTTACTACGCTAAAAAGTTTTCTTTCAATACTAGTTGCATCTATAATGAATTTGTGGCCAATATATGTGGTTTCTACGTTATAAAAATCTAATCTTGATGCAATCAAAGGTAGTTCAAAAAATTCCTCTAAAACTTTAAATTTTCGACATAAAAATTGAGGAGTCTCATAATTAAAAATTTTTAAAATTACAATGACCTGTTTATCTTTCGTCAAAAAAAAAACCGATCACGACAGTTCTTGGAATCAAATCTAAACCCTTGGAAATATAAATAATTTTTTCCTTTGGATTTTTCTTTTTCAATTTCTGCTTGTACAATATCTGAACAATTGATATATTCTGCAATTCGTCGATATATCTGACTTAAAGGTAGTTTGGGACCATGAATACATTTTTTAATTGGTGTCATGAATGATTCAAATTCCCAAGTTGAAAATCTGTCACAAGGTTTCTGTTGTTTTAGTACTTCATCCGCAAAATGTACAGTTTGATGAACCATCGGCACATACATTAAATCACTGTATAAATACTTGATTTCGTCGTTGAATTTGATAAGCATTGCACGTGCAATTCTGTTGTATTTTATGCACTTATCAGGATCACATAATATTGAAAATGCACATGTTAAAAGTAAATAATGTTGGTAATGTTTTCGTAGTATGTTGTTTTTTAAAAGTATGGGAGCTAATTTTAGTAAAATCAAACGCCACTCGTGTCCTTTAAATGAAGCCATATCGTTAATATTTCGGAATGTTCTGTGAATTTCTGCTGGAGATGTTTCATTAATCTTTGCAAAAAGATTATTGACCGTTGCTCTTGACTGTGGAAACAGTGGTTTATCAATACCAACTAATTTTTTGAAAAACTTTCTGGCCGGTCCAAGAACTACAACATGAAGAAAGTCCAATGGAAATTGTGTCAACATTAGAATATTTAATTCTTTCTCTACTAATGAATTTCTGTTTGAAAATCGTATATCTTCTCTATTCAAAAACATTTCGTCAGTTCGACTTTCGCAGTTACTAAATTTAAAAAGCATTCTTCTTTGCTCGTATAGTCCAAGACAAAGGCATCTAATGCATGATCGATATCCCATATGTCCAATTATTCCGCATACAGATGATCTTGCTGGCGTATCAAGACAAAAATTGTTAACCTCAACATTAACTTTTGTTCCATTTATTTCCATTCCAGTAGCAATTAAATCTTTTAATTCTAATACAAAAGTTTTTAAAAACTCATCAAAGTCGTCAGGTTTGTGTCTTCCATTGTACAATCCAATAGCAATAACTGAATGCTCAACACCGTGAATTTTACACATTATTACCCAAAATGTTTTGTTCTTAGAACTAGGATGTATAGCGACACCGTCAATAAAGCAATCAATTTTAAACTTATCAACGTCTAATTTTAATTGAGCAGCTTTAAAAATCAATCCCTTTTTTAATCCAAAATGCACATAATGTCCAGGAAAGACTTTTTTAATGTCTGTAACTCTTGGTGTTGACAGTAATTTTCTATAATCTCTTGGTATATTTGGAATCACTGGACTAAGCAATTTAAGAATCGAATTTACAGCAGTACGAGGCAAATTTTTTTTCACAGCAATCAAACGTAGTCCTTTTTTAATGTAGTCTGTAGTTTTCTTATCACTTATAGATAAGAAATTATTTTTATCACTACTATTGATGCTTAAGTCTTCAAAAGGTTTTTCAGGCAAAATTTGTGTGTCTTGTTCAGGTGAGTCTTGTGTTTTCTCTTTACATTGAAGATCTTTATTATGGGACAGATTTAGAACATCTACTTCATTTGCATTTGAACTGCCTTGATTCGTTTGTTTCTTATTTTCAATATGTAACAATTCGCAAGTTTCTTCTGTTATAAATTTATTATCAAAAGTCAATAGATTTGAATCGTTCGGCTTATCTTATTTAATTTTCTTTCTTAATTTGATATTATTTAAAAGATATTTTTTTTAAAGTGCTTATTTGTCATTTCAGATTGAAGTTTAGTTTTGCGACCCATACTTTGAATTTAAATTGATACCGTTAGAAAAATTGATAGAAAAAATAATTTCAATAAACTTTTAAATTAATTGTTTTGGAGATTTCCAGAAAGCTTTCACGAGTCAGTTAATAAAAAACAAAAAGTTGAATCGACTTACATTATTTCATCAAAAGTGACTGCCTTTTTGTATAACAAGTGGAATTTTGAAGTGTTCCTTGATGTCAGTAAATCCAAAAGCTGAACTTTTATGACGCTATGTACTTCGTTTAAAGTTCTTAATAATGATTGACGAAGCGTCCAATAAAATAATGATGTCCCAAAACCAGCAACAGAACACAAAAAAACTTAAAAAAAAATTTTGCTCGACTTTCTTTGCCTTTTATTATGCATTCCTTTTTTGTACATCAAATCACAAAACTTAATTTGTAGTTGGGATGTAATTGTTTATTTATTTATAAAGGCAAATAAATACCAAATCACTTTAAATGGTTTAAAAGTTTTTTATGAAATTAAAAACTGATTTAAAACTTTAAGAAAAAGATATTTAAAATTTTTTCTGCTGGCATGGAATATCTCCACGACGGCAGGTTTTACAAATCTGTGCAAGCATGTATGTTGAACAAAAATAAAACTTATGGCGGTGTGGTGCTGGTACAAAATTAAAACGGTGCTAGATTGACGAAAATATTTTAAGTTGGCACAGTTTTTTTTCGGTGCCAGTGTGAAGCCATCTCGATGCTAAAACTTGTGCTGGCACCAAGCCGAAACATCGATGCGGCACAAATTTTGATCGGTTGCTGGCGTGTGCCAGGATTGTGCCAAGAACTTGGCACACTGTGCCTTTCGGGTTAGTGCGTAATAAGTGTGGAATAAGTCAAAATCTAGTTCTTAATTCAGATTAAGTGCAGAACAAGTCAAATTCAAGTTCTTAGTGCGTAATAAGTGTGGAATAAGTCAAAATCTAGTTCTTAATTCAGATTAAGTGCAAAACAAGTCAAATTCAAGTTCTTAGTGCGTAATAATTGTGGAATAAGTCAACATCTAGTTTTTAATTTAGATTAAGTGCAGAATAAGTCAAATTCAAGTTCTTAGTGCGGAATAAGTGTGGAATAGGTCAAAATCTAGTTCTTAATTCAGATTAAGTGCAGAACAAGTCAAATTCAAGTTCTTAGTGCGTAATAAGTGTGGAATAAGTCAAAATCTAGTTCTTAATTCAGATTAAGTGCAGAACAAGTCAAATTCAAGTTCTTAGTGCGTAATAAGTGTGGAATAAGTCAAAATCTAGTTCTTAATTCAGATTAAGTGCAAAACAAGTCAAATTCAAGTTCTTAGTGCGTAATAATTGTGGAATAAGTCAACATCTAGTTTTTAATTTAGATTAAGTGCAGAATAAGTCAAATTCAAGTTCTTAGTGCGGAATAAGTGTGGAATAGGTCAAAATCTAGTTCTTAATTCAGATTAAGTGCAGAACAAGTCAAATTCAAGTTCTTAGTGCGTAATAAGTGTGGAATAAGTCAAAATCTAGTTCTTAATTCAGATTAAGTGCAAAACAAGTCAAATTCAAGTTCTTAGTGCGTAATAATTGTGGAATAAGTCAACATCTAGTTTTTAGTTTAGATTAAGTGCAGAATAAGTCAAATTCAAGTTCTTAGTGCGGAATAAGTGTGGAATAGGTCAAAATCTAGTTCTTAATTCAGATTAAGTGCAGAACAAGTCAAATTCAAGTTCTTAGTGCGTAATAAGTGTGGAATAAGTCAAAATCTAGTTCTTAATTCAGATTAAGTGCAAAACAAGTCAAATTCAAGTTTTTAGTGCGTAATAAGTGTGGAGTAAATCAAAATCAAGTTCTTAATTCAGATTAAGTGCAAAATAAGTCAAATTCAAGTTCTTAGTGCGTAATAAGTGTGGAATAAGTCAAAATCTAGTTCTTAATTCAGATTAAGTGCAGAACAAGTCAAATTCAAGTTCTTAGTGCGTAATAAGTGTGGAATAAGTCAAAATCTAGTTCTTAATTTAGATTAAGTGCAGAACAAGTCAAATTCAAGTTCTTAGTGCGTAATAAGTGTGGAATAAGTCAAAATCTAGTCCTTAATTCAGATTAAGTGCAGAACAAGTCAAATTCAAGTTCTTAGTGCGTAATAAGTGTGAAATAAGTCAAAATCAAGTTCTTAATTCAGATTAAGTGCAGAACAAGTCAAATTCAAGTTCTTAGTGCGTAATAAGTGTGAAATAGGTCAAAATCAAGTTCTTAATTCAGATTAAGTGCAGAACAAGTCAAATTCAAGTTCTTAGTGCGGAATAAGTGTGGAATAAGTCAAAATCTAGTTCTTAATTCAGATTAATTGAAAAACAAGTCAAATTCAGGTTCTTAGTGCGTAATAAGTGTGGAATAAGTCAAAATCTAGTCCTTAATTCAGATTAAGTGCAGAACAAGTCAAATTCAAGTTCTTAGTGCGTAATAAGTGTGAAATAAGTCAAAATCTAGTTCATAATTCAGATTAAGTGCAGAACAAGTCAAATTCAAGTTCTTAGTGCGTAATAAGTGTGGAATAAGTCAAAATCAAGTTCCTAATTCAGATTAAGTGCAGAATAAGTCAAATTCAAGTTCTTAGTGCGTAATAAGTGTGGAATAAGTCAAATTCTAGTTCTTAATTCAGATTAAGTGCAGAATAAGTCAAATTCAAGTTCTTAGTGCGTAATAAGTGTGGAATAAGTCAAAATCTAGTTCTTAATTCAGATTAAGTGCAGAACAAGTCAAATTCAAGTTCTTAGTGCGTAATAAGTGTGGAATAAGTCAAAATCTAGTTCTTAGTTCAGATTAAATGCAGAACAAGTCAAATTTAAGTTCTTAGTGCGTAATAAGTGTGGAAAAGGTCAAAATC